ATAGTAAGTACTCAGTAAATTGTAGTATTAATTTTTCATTCAGAGGAGACTTAACTCCTTAGAGGCCCTCTCCGATACTGGAAAACTGGGAAGCACGTGGGCAGGAGCTCTGAAAAGCAACCCCCAGTTCTGTACTTTGGTGTTGAGGAATGGCTTCTGCACTCACGTTTTTTTAAACAGTCTGTTTCCTTTCTCTGCTATCCAACAGTATGGTTCAACTGAATTAAGCATTCCTCAGCACAAAGGCACTGAAAATTTTAAAAGTCTGATTTCTGGAAACAAAAGGAGAAAGTTAGCAATGACACCAATGGCCCCTCCCGCTAACCCCCATCCTGGTTCCCAGGTGGAAGACCCTTAGCCTCAGGGTCTGGGTACTGGATGCTGCTGATAAAGGATAGGATATTAGTGATCCACTTGGACCAAGACTCGGCCATTGCTCAACCCGTTTTTGTAATTTTTGCTCATTACAGGGAAATCAAGAGGCTAGGACTTAAAAGAAGCATCTAAACAAGCATGTACTTCACACCATAACCCCCTAGCTTCTTACCATTCCTGTTCCTGTAAGCTTCTAATTCAGGAATGCAGGTAAGAGCAAAAAGTGGGCAGTCCTCTACAGGGGACAATGGCCACGGAACTGTCCCAATAGGAACAGAAGACTAAAGGAAACTCTTTCCTATTCTGTTTTCCCATCTTCCCTTTCTGCTGTTTAATGCATGTCTGCTTCTTCATTCCTTTCCATGATTCAGTTAATATGTGCTCGGCACGGTAGTAGGCATTTTGACCCTCCTCCGATTTTTTTAAATTATTCTTGTCCCTCCATGCCTTTTTCTTTTCTTCTGTATTAATCATTTTCCCATGTACTATCTATAAGTCTTTCCATGCTTCACTTTCAAGAAACAGACCTGGCTCCTTTCTTTACAGTAAGTAATGCAAGTGGGTCCCTGGGAGATGAGGAGAAAGGGACAGTTCTGAGCAGCACGTAGGGAGCTAACACAGCTAATGAAGGAGACAGCTGCAGAGGGTTTTTTTTTTAGTACAGATTTAAGTAACTCCTTTGTTATCAAAAATAACGATGTCAGAATCAATAACCTGCTGATTATAAAATTTATCCTTGGCAGAGAGATAAGAGAATTAACATTTAATATGTGCCACTCCAGGCACTGTGTGGGGCTAGTGGTTCTCAGTATTTTAGTAGTCAGGGACTCCTCCGAGATTCTTCTGTAAGCTTTGAAGTCTCTTCCTTAGAAAAATTCAAATGTACATAAAATGTTACATAGAAATACAGGGCAAATGATGCCTGAAGCACAACCACAGACCTTGGTTAAACCCTTTTGTGCCGAGCCTTTACATCTGATAGCATGGCATTACTAAGACTAGATACCATTGTCCCCACCTTACAGATGAGGGGACATATTCAAGGTCACATGCATAATAGGTAGCAGGAACATTTCAACCAGACTTGTCTAAACACAACTTGCTGCCCTAGATGAAATGTCTTTACTGTTACTGCAAATATCGCTCCTTATTTTTAAACGAGGAAATAAAGATTATGTGAGAAACTGAAATCTGTGCAAAGCATTCCAGTCACAGAAAATCAGGAAGCTCAAAACTCCCAGAGGTTCCAATCCTATTTCCTATCAACCAAAAGCCCCACTCCCCCTGCGCCCACCCACCCAGCTGGAAAACAAGCCAAAGAGAAGCTTTGCTTAGAGGTTTCGTATTCCTCAGAATAAGAGGCAAACCTCTCTGTCAATAATACCTCAATAACACTGGAAAAACATCTAAAAAGAGGCAATCTCTTTAAAATAATGTCAGTCGAAATATAAATTAAGAAACCAAAGCCTATGGAAAGGAAATAAAAGAAATTTAATTTCAGAATGTTACATGAATATAAAGACAAAAATGCATATGATTATTTCTTTACAGTTACATATATATAGATTATAGTCAAATAAGAATGAAAAATTAAAAATGGTGAAATAGTTAAGAAACCTTATTTCTCTTGTTGAGCTTGCTCGGGGATAGTGCAAAGGCAACTATTCAGTGCTGCCTTTATGAAGAGAGGACTCTGGCGGGAGTACTTCCCTACAGGTCCTGCTGGTCCCCACACATATCTGGGGGAGTGCTCAATGGCTCTTCAGCATAGGCTATGGCCTCGTACACTCCAGTTTCCATGGTAACCCAAGCGCTCAGGCTGTTATGAACTCCACCTCCTCACTAGGCCCTCCATCAACTCTCCACTGGTAGAAAGATCTCAGCATTAACTGCCTAGAAAAGCCAGCTTTTCTATTGTGAGTCTTAGATTGGGCTAATTATCACTGGTTTGAAAAGCTTGTGCATCTTAAGAACCCACATTTTCCCCAAATTCTAGGGTAATCCTGCCAAATGCTGGTATCCAGGTTTGGATCCAGGTCCTGTTTTCAGCACAAATGCTTCAGGGTGGAGGAGGGCAGAGATGAGGCTCTCTTGAGGAAAGGAGTCCTACATAGAAATTTGCTGACTTCAGAATGAGAGCCTCCAGCTTCAAGCATCTGTGCGAGGCCCTGTAGGAAGGAAGCAGACAGTCTAGAGAAGTCCATTCCCAAAGATGGCTTCCCAGTTATGTGTGGTCATACAGCTGTTCACTGTGGGCACAGCCCCAGTGACCACAGGTTCTCCTGGAAGACAGTATTTTAAACCATGTCCTAATATAGGCTCTGTGAGGGAAGCTGAGCAGAAATATTGCTATTCAAGAGGAAAGAATGACTCTGCTCTGACACTCTGGGATCTACTATCTTCCTTACAGGGCAACAAAACAGCCACCTCTGGAACACCCAGTGGTCATCGCAGTCAGCAGCCCTGCATGACTCCATTCCCCAACAGTACTCCCTTGTCACTGCTGACTGACTCTGGAAGGACATTCAAGGCAAAGAGCTTGTGAGGGATCAATTGTGGTTTCAATTATGATTCATTAAGTTCCACCTCCTTTAATATGTTTGGCACTCAGAAATAATCAGTGTCTCCTAATCATCTCACTGCTGCAGTGGAGTTTTTCGAATCAGATTCATTGGTCCCAGTGCAATAGTCTATCATTGTAAAAGGTCAGAAACCTCAGTGGTTTTCACTGATTCAACCAGTGTAACTCAATTAGTGCAGATGTGAATCAAGGAGGTGGTCTGTGTTTTTATGCTTGTGCCATCTGGCACAAATACACTGCCCCAAATTGACACCACATTAAAACCCATCGCAACTGACCCCAGAAAGAAATGAAATTTTAAAATCCAGAAGAAGAGGCATTTCCAAAGAGATTGTTTCAACATGAAAAGTAAATATAACAAAACAGTGAAAAAATATCAGCTAGAATTTAAAAATTGTTAAATACTGGCTCAAAAATACCCGCCCACCAAGTCAGAAGGGAGACAGTACCCTCCTGTGACATATGAAAAGGGTTTTTGTCTTTGAGTTCTCCAAAGATTCCACAGAATTAGAACAGTTACATATTACAAGGCAGAAAGTTATACTATTTATTTCTTGAAACTGGATCACAGCTTCTATTTAAAAAAAAAAAAAAATGACCTATCATACCCTTAAAGCAAGGGAAAGCATACTTAATAAATAACTTACATGAAAAACACATACCCAAATACACACATAAACTGCCCACGGGCAGGCTATATAAAATCATGTGCATGTGACATACACTTCTCACCACCCTAGTCCCATAACACTACCAGGGGTTACCCGTTACATCCAATCATGAGAGTCTCCTAAATCTCAGGTACCTCCCTTAAATAGAACCGCAGAACGAACTCAACAAGTTCTGCGGTATCAGGTCACTGCTCTGCACCCTCTTCCTGAGGCCAGACCATGTTTAACACACCAAATGACTTCGGGACGAAACACTTAGATGAAGAAAGAAAGAAAGTATGGAGTGAAGGGAGAACACTACTTCAATCTGGTCATACCAAAAGGGGTTTCTATTTGAATTCACTGATAGCAAGGAATGTAATTTTTTCTCAATAAGGAAAAAAAGACAAATAGAAACCTATACAAATGAATTGCTAACAAGCATTTTTAAGAATGACATAAAACTGTTTTAGAGAAAAGGGCTTCTAAACAGTATTATACTCCTATCCAGCTATGGTTCACAATCTATCAAGCTGGAAGGCCAAAGTTTTTTTCCCTTCACTATTGCTGTTACAGCAACAAAAGAAACGAAAAGTATGAGAGGACTGACACCCAGACATCAAACCATCCTCTGCTCCCCAGAATCATCTTTTGTTTCAGCAAAAATGCAGTATTTTCAATAATTTAAAAACAGGTTGGCAAACCATACTTTGCTGGGTAAGGCCTGACTCAGCTCCAGCACACAGGGTGAGAACGGTTACACAGCTTCAGAAACAGGCACAGACTGAGCATTTTCACCTGCCACATGCTGCTTGCTTCCTGGGCAGTGAGTATTTACACAAGATCAGAGCTATGCCATTGCTCAACTCAAACACATGTGAACATCTCAGCCCAAAGCGCCAGCTGCATCTCCAAACTATTCCCCATGCCCATTCTAATAAGGACAGGGGCAGAGCAGCTCCTTGAACATTGGTGATAAACCACACTGCTTCCAAATGAGAACATTCTCTCCTTTAAATCCTCTAAGCCCTGCAGAGACTGATTGCTCACTCCCTTCCTCTGACTCCAGCTGGCTCTCAGGAGACGGTCTAGCCTGCACACCTGATCCCTTAAAAGGATGCAATATAATCCTACCCCTAAGGAGTCGTCCTGGACATAAAGCCAGCCAGCTCCCTCCTAGTCATACTCCAGAGCTTCCACCACATACAGTTATTTCAGCAAACCTCTATTAAGCTGTCGGTGACTTTCCTTGAGTCACAATGAGTCACAGTGGCACAGAAGTATTGGCACCACATTGGCACCAGAGTTGTTTTAGGCAAGAAGAAATTGAATGAAGGAAAAGAGTTCAGCAACCACACAATTATTTGTCATCAATGAGAAAAGGAGAAGAGAGGGAGGGAGAGAGGAACGCAGTTTAATAATTAACATTTGTTAAAATATTGTATCATTCTGAATTCTCTTTTTTCAATACTTTAGGACAAACACCTTGCAATCTCAGGCCCAAGAAATAATGAAAAATCTCCAGGAAAGCTATAAATTCCTTGGACACAAATAAAGTATTGAGGAATACAGCCTCGTGCTCTAAAGAGCTTTCTCAAAGTTGAAGGTGAAAAAGAAGGGAAAGACATCTAGCTTAGAGCCCATTTAGATTGCCTATCAAAAAAAAATGGCTTTAAAAAATAAACAAACAACAAATGAGAAGTAACAACAAAAATACCCAACACTATCAAAACAGAGAAAATATCAGTTAAAAATGACACCAATCCACCAGGATTGATAGTACTTTAAAAAAAAAAAAAAATCATTGGCAGTTGAACACAAATCTCACATTTTTAAAAAACAGAATTTGTTTCAACAAATGCATGGAATGAGCACTGGAGTCTGCTAGATTCTGCTCACATACTGTGCTGTGAAAGCTGGTTGGTTGGTTAGTGGTTTCCCCATAATATTAAAGAAAGGAGAGAAAGAGAGTGCTGCTAGCATTGGTTCAGAAGGCACAGTCTGCAGAAATCATCCAGTGAGTAGGGTTAGAGGTATCAGTTAGGTCATAGGATTAATTAACTTTCACAATTCAAAATGCAGCAAGCAAGCTGCAAGTCCAAGCTTCTCTGTGAGCGATCATGACACCTGGCCCACTAAAGAGAAAATTCTGAGTGGACAACAGAACTCTGGATCCTTCAGAGGAATCCTAGGATGAAAGAGAAACAAGAGCATTAAGCATGTTTATGAATATTTTTTCCCACCTAAAAGCTAGAGAATCTATATTTAATATTTTCTATAAACTGAGGGTTAAGAGTTTAAATGAGAACTGATGAATCTTTATCAAGTAAACCTCACTTTGTCTACTTGCTCTAATCTCAGTTCATTACATCATCTTAATGGCAAAATGGCTACCAGTTAACTAAGTGCCTATTTTGTGCCAGGCACTGCTCTAACTTCTTGATATACTTTCTCATTTATCTTCACAACAATCTGTGGAGGAGGTGATGTGCTTGTCATTTTACAGTTAAAGAATTTGAAGCCTACACAAGCTAACTTGCCCCCAGATTTATAAGGCTATTAAGCAGTGAACTTGGGAGTGGAACCCAAGCCTGACAGAATGCAGAGTTCAGGTTCTTACCACCTGTAGTATAAACCCCGACAGTTTTTTTTTTTTCTTTTTTGTAATGCAAGTGCCTAACTTAAGCTTTGATTGTCAAGAGGCATCCACTTCGAAGATCAAATAGACTAGATAAAGAGCTAGGCCACCTCTCCACTGAGAATCCTATTTCAATAACTGACCATTTGGGCCACTTGTTTTTTTTCTCTTCCCTTTAAATTCCCACTTTAAATTCCCACTTTTATGTTTTAAATTAACCAATAAAGAGTGAGCTCATGAAATCTTAGGCCCCAATAAAAACAGAACCCTAGGCCTGTGCATTCTCTCTACCAACAACCTTGCTGTGTGGCCCCAGGTGTGCTGTGTAATTTCCAGGTCTTGCAAGTAAATAATCTTCATTTTTACCCCCTAAGTTTCCTGATACTTACTGCTGAATGGCATCTTACAATCATAATAAGAACTACAATGGCCAATCCAACCACAACATTGGTTATTGATAGGCTGAGACCAGCACAAAACACTACCAGTATAGTATGCCTTTCACCAGAAAATGTTTACTAAATACCCACTAGATACAACGCACTGTCATTGTTGGGAGGAAGAGAATAGAAGACAAGAAGCCACAAGCATATTCTTTAGTCTGGCCTTTGTCTTCCAGAAGAGAAACTGGTTACATTGATAATACATATGAAGTAAATAACATCGATAAATCATATTAAGTGTCAAAATTTTCATAGTGTCAATAAGAATTCAAAGGAAAATGTGTATCTGGCTGGGTTAGCCAAAGAAAGTTTCGATGAGGAGGTGGGGTTTCAGCTGGGCTCTGAAGAATGGGTAAGACTCTGACTGCTGAAATTAATGCCAATTAATAAGTAGGTGCTAAATCAGCAGTTCTCATCTGGGGTGATTTTGCCCCCTCTTCCCCAGGGGACATCTGGCAATGTTTGAAGGCATTTTTGGTTGTCGCAACTGGAAGAAGAGTGCTACTGGCACCTAGTGGGTAGAGACCAGGGATGCTGCTAACCATACAATACGCAGGACAGCTCCCCACAACAAAGAATTATCTGACCCAAAATGTCATTAGTGTCAGGCTGAGAAACCCTGTGCGAAATAAATGTCTTTGGGGAGTATACTATTGATAATGATAATAATTGCATTATCTTCTTTTATAAAATTACCATAAAAAATTTAGGGTTGTATTCATTGTGTAAAAGAAATAGATGGCAAGAAATTAAATCTGCAGGCTTGGAGACAGAAGAGAGTTCAGATCTGGAGATGCAGGCTTAGATGCAGTTAACATACAGAAAACTGAACTGAGAGCTATAGAAGTAGACCAAGCTGCTAAAATGGGGGAAGCAAGAGCAGAATGAGCAAAGAACTTAAAGTAGAGGGCTGAAAACACAAAGAGGCTGACGTGTAGGCAGATGACAGTATGTCACTGCAGAGATCGAAAAAAATTAAAGAGAAAGAAGGAGAACAAGATAGTATAACATCATGACAGCCAAGGAAGGCATTTCAAGATAGAGGGAGTGACCAGGAAGAAAGTAAAATAAAAATGCCATTGCCTAATCCAGTGAAAGATCATTCATTATCTGTGGGCCTCCACTTTTCTGAATCACTAACATTTTTGAGAATCTAATAAAAAAGTATATATCTTCTCTCCTCCAGAAAAATGCACATATGTGCCTACACATAAAATTACATCAACAATACCAGAACTTTATTAGAGCTTTATGAAGTCTGCAGTTAACAGGTCAAGCATCCCTGCTCTAAAACTCCTTGATAAAATATTATATATTATTAAACTGGCTTATTTTTTTAATGTATTTCTTTCTTCTGAAAACAGAGTTGTCAATATAGAAAGACTTATTATTTCTCGATTATCTTCAAAAATGAAAGCAACAAAAGATATAATTGATATAAAACAATGTATCCTTCAAAAATACTTTAGTCTTAGTTTTGACTTATGGATATAAAAGTAGAAATATTTAGACACACATAACTCAAACAACGAACTTGCATCAACCAGACAGCCCAGCCTAGAAATCAGAAGTAGGGTGGAAAGAAGAATTGAGATAATTATTCAAGGATAAGTAAGCAGACTATATTGAAATCTAACTTTCTAGAAAAGTATAAAAATTAAGCTTTTGCTCTCTTTCTATTGCTGATGTCTCAAACAGTAATTATGTTCATGTCTCAGTGCTAAAATGTGCATGTCAAATCAGAGATCACTTCCCTTGCTACACGAGCCTAATAAAACAAGACCAACTCACATCCAGTTTCCTTTAGTAACAATTATGACCACTTGTTAATGTTTTAACAATCACAATGTGCTTCCAAAACATTATTTCAATTGAGCCTCATAAGAAATCTCTAAAGTAGATATAAGTACCATCCTCATTTTCAGAGGAAACGTGGGCTCAGAGAGAATGAACAGTTTTCCCAGGCCAGAGGAATGATGACTCAAATCAGGTCTAACTAGAAAATCCCTAGTCTTTCCAATAAACCACATGGCTTCTTCAGAGGAAAGCAAAGCAGCCCCCCGCCTTTTACCAGAAGAGCCTAAGCAACCAGCAGTCCCAGCGCTAAATATTCCTTTTTGCCTTAAATATCTTCAAAAACATCTTGTACATGATTTCCAGGGTCCTTCAGCATGAGGTATTTATCTGAAAAGCTTCAGTGAATAAACAAGCTAAAGTATACAAAGAAAAGGAGCATAACTATTTCACGTTTACTGAGCATATTCTCAGCACTTCTGTACTTGGTCTTACGAATTGGTTTACACTTGCTTTTAATTGCTTAACAAGTATTCTGAAGACATTTTTCACATGTGTCGCATCTGTCCAGGGATGCAGGGACAAGGTAGGTCTGTGTTCACAGCTCCATCCCTTAGCACTTGGGACAGTGCTAAGTAGGTGCTCAATAACTATCTGCTAAATGAACGCAAGAACCAAGACCCAGCCTTGTGATTTTTACATGACTGCTGACTACAACCATACTACACTGGGAATTCAAAAACTGCTACTGACTGACTAGATGCAGAAAGGATCTACATTCAGTAAGAACACAGAATAAGTACAATTAGTACCTTTTTTCCCCTCCTTCTTCTCCTCAGACCATTTCAATCTTGTTGGTATCATCGTGACAGCTGGAGAGCCAGAACATAACTGTAACAAGAAAATTTTAAAGTGGCTTAAATGTCCTAATGTTGTTCCTACAGACAGACTTTACTAACAGAGGAATTATTTACTAGATAAATTTCAATGTGAAGACTTTTACTGGTGTATTTATAATTTTAATCTTAACTGATTTTATTCCTGGCTTAATGAAATAACTATGCCTGGGATACCTTGAAGAACTACTCCACAGGTAATGCATTGCCAGGTAGGCCTGGCTCAAATATTACCCACCCTCTGGAGTCTCCCAGTAAGAACTGCTCCCTCCAGCACTATGTTCCTGGGGCTATTTCACTGTATTTGTCTTCTCTGCTTATGACTGGCTATATCCTCCTTGAACTCAATATGTATTTGTTGAATGAATCAATGAAAACCTATAGAAAGATGACAGCATAAATGAAAGGATTAATTGAGAAAAAAGCATAGTTGAATAGTCCAGAGTGACACATTAAGACAGATAACAGTATATCCATTTTCTTCCTTTCTAAAAATGTACACATACAAATAGAAAGTACAAAGAACAGTATCTTACTAAGTTCAGATTTTCTTTGCTGGCTCCCTTCAATTCACCCATGGCTGGAGATTCCGGAGAAGGGGTCTTATTTTTCTTTTCTGACACCATCTGGTTTCCCAGGACCTTCCGCTGATTTAAGAAGAGAAAATATTTAATTTATAAACATCTATATCTATATTATAGCTATTCTGGCCTTCAAAACTAGAGTTTCTTAGGTTAAAAAAATCTCCGCATTCGGATAAATTCTCCCAAGCCATCTTATATAAGGGAGGCCAAAGTATGTCACCATGGGGGAAAAAAAAACCTGAAATCATTGCCTTCTTCAGGTAATCACTTTTTCTCTACATTTAAAAAGGGCCAAGATGTTAGAAGCAACATTTATAGTTGATTTAAACTAGCTAATACAGGCAATGACTGTGTGCTTCTGAGACCTTAAAAGAAACGCCAGTTACCTAACTGTACAATTTTTTCCTCACAGACATGTATGTTGTCTCTGGCAGCTCTTAAGAGACCCTTGCTTTCCTCCCAACTAAAAGATACTTACACTGGGTCCATTTTAAGACTTTGCTTCCCTATCACATCCTCACACAGGATTGGAAAATTTGGAGAAATTCTGTAAGAGTTTCTAATATAGCCGCAAGAGGGTACAGGCCTTCTTAAGAGGGTCACATGACTATACTGACATTCAGAGCAAGACTAAAAGCCCTTTCATTTCTTAGAAGCTGATGTAACCTACTGTAACAGCTGACAGTGACAATTCTACCATGTTTAGAGAAATCTTCTCTTTTTTCTCCTCAGAGAATAAATTTAAATTCCAAAAACAGAACATATCAAAACTAAAACATTAAACTCTACAATGTAAATATTAATAGCTACATTCAGAATATTGCAATGTAATACATTATTTACATGAGAGAAATTTTAGAGGAAAAAAGTCTAGCCAAAAAAAAGAGGAGGAAGATCAAAGTAAAATAGCAAGATAGAAATCAAATAGCTAAAACACAGAAATGCCAGAAAAATAAGACTAGTACATTGAATGACTCCTTTCAGAAGTCAGTTATCACCTCGGAATAAGCTAAATTAGGGATGTCGGAAGCCACAGGATGGCTATAAAACCTCCAATCAACTTTTCAAAAGACGTTTTATTACTCTATTACTATTGAGCAGAAACCTACATCTATTATTAGCTCAAAAATCTCTTCATTTATAATGAAAAGTTTATCCTCAGTTTTATAAAACTTGCTAACATTGTGTTTAAAATTGTTGTTCTATTTTATCCTGATAGAATTATAAGCTCTTTTATAACTCTAAAGTTCTAAATTCTCTCTCAGTAAAGAAGTGGGCAGCTGATAACAGAAGACTATATATTTACATTTCAAGCAACAATTAGCAATATATCTACAACCAACTGCAGAAGAGCTCACTATAAAGAGAAAACAATACTCATCTAACTTCAGTTAAAGAAACATTGGTTTGACTAACACATAGAGAAACATGTCTTTGACTATAACTTTTCTTGTTATCAATCACCTTTATGACAGGGAAGTCAGAGGGAATGACAGACTTCCAAGTAAAATGAACCAAGGACATTCATTTTACTTACTTGCCATATCTAAGCAGGTACATGTATCTCTAGGGTTCCAGCAGAGGGAATTTTTTTTCAATTGTGATAAAATACACATAACATAAAATTTACCATTTTACTATTTTTAAGTGTACAGTTCAGTGGCATTGAGTAGTCACATTGTTGTGTAACCATCACCACCTTTCATCTCCAGAACTTTTCATCTTCCCAAACAGAAACACTGCGCCCAATAAACAATAACTCCAATTCCTCCTACACTCCTAATTCCTGACAACCATTCCACTTTCTCTATGAATCTGACTATTCTAGATACCTCATATAAGTGAAATAATACAATATTTGTTCATTTGTGGCTGGCTTATTACACTTAGCATAATGTTTTCAAGTTTCATCCATGTTGCAGCATATGTCAGAATTTCCTTCCTTTTCAAAGCTGAATATTCCATCGTATATATGTATATGTCACATTGTTTTTTATCCACCAGAGAACACTTGAGTGGCTTCTACTTTTTGACTATTGTAAATAATACTGCTACAAACATGGGTGTAAAAATATATGTTCGTGTCTCTGAGGGTTATATACTCAGAAGAATTGCTGGATCATACAGTAATTCTATTTTTAATTTTCTGAGGAACTGCCATACTGTTTTCCATAGTAGTTATCCCATTTTTCATCCCCACCAACAATGCACAAGGCTTCCAATTTCTCCACATCCTCACTAAAACTTATTTTTTGTTTTTGTGAGAGTAGCCATCCTAGTGGGTAAATTGGTATTTCACTATAGTTTTGATTAGCATTTCTCTAATGATAAGTGATACTGAGCATCTTTTCATGTGTTCATTGGCCATTTGTATATCTTCTTCCTAGAAATGTTGATTTAAGTCTTTTGGTTATTTTTTAATTGGGTTTTGAATTGTTTCTTTGGAGTTTTTTTGCTACTGTAAGTTTTTTTTATATTCTGGATAGTAGCCCTTAATCAGATATATGTTTTACAAATATTTTCTCCCATTCTCTTTATTGCCTTTTCACTTTATTAATAGCAAAGGAAATTTTAATGTCAAGCAAACCTAATATCCCAGAGTCTACTGGCTCCAGTGGATCAGAATTGAGAGAGAATTCTAAACTTCTATTAATGACATTAACCATCAAAATTAGAGTTAGATGAAGTTGCAATTGCTAATAACTGCAGCTTAAATATATAAATATATGTATATATATTTATAGACATAAAAATATATATATAAAAATTCTAAGCACAGAGTTCCTTAATGTTGCTGGATTTATAAATTTTAATAATCTTAAAATTACTTTAAAAAGGAAACCAGTACAATACAGAATAGTGCAAATCTTTCTCCAAGTTAACCAGAACCTTGCCTTTGTTTCTTTATGCCTGGAAATTTGAATCCTATAATCAAGTTATCTACTGCCATCTGATGACAATATTCCTTAACTACAAGTTCAAATCGTCCGTGAAGACTGGTAAATTGAATCTACAAACATCGTGAAGGCAGCAACAGCACATAAGTGTATATTGTATTTGTTTTAAAACAAGACTTTTAACAAATTTGATACAAAGGAAGAGAACACACTGATCAAAATACTAAGCTCACAAAAATCTGAGTTACCTAAAACTCACTAGTTTTCTAACCATTTTTCAACAATTTTCCTAGACTGTCAATCTTCTCATTTCTCTAAACTTTAGCAAATTGCACAATGAAGTATGTAGCGCAAAGCAGGTCATGAAGCGAAAAGGACTCTCTAAACAGCTCAGGAATAAGGACCCTGTTCTCAGCCCCCGAAGAAGAAGATGGACCTTTATATCTTTTATTCCTCACTTCTACCATCATGGAGCCCCTTCTTTGGTTTGAAACACAGCAAAAATGCTTTGAAAAATAAAAGCTTTTCCAAATTCTATCCATTTCCCCTTACAAATGATCCCAAAGAATGGAAGAAAACTTCATGCATAAGAAAAGTCAAACTGTTCAATCTTCTCACAGTCGATGCTGAAAACGACAGCACAGCATACCTACCTTAATAAGGCCACTGAAGGAACGTGAACGGGCCCTCTTCTGTACCCGGGGAGTAGAAGGTTCTCGCCCTGGTGTTTGGATCACAGATTGCTTATTAAACTAAAATAAAACAGGGAGAACATTTTGTTAATATTCTCCCATCAAGAGATAGCATTCTGTGACAACTAATAGAATAGCTAAGTATAAATAACCAGAAAAGTCCAGGAAGAAGTGAGTCTGTACATATATGGAGTAGTAGGTTGGCAAGCAAATCACAAAGGCTGAAATGATGCTGCCAAAAATAAGTCAAAATTTATTATATTAGTTTGAGGGCTAATTAAGTTAAATAGTACACACCAAAAACAAACAAACAAACCAATTGGAATCAGATAATGCTTCCAGAATTAGCTCTACCAGTTTATAGCAAATATAGAGGACTGAGGAACATCTTAAATAACACCATAGGGATGCAATCAGCAAAATCCAACCTGGTTTCTTTCACAAATAAACTGCAGGGGGCAGGGAAAGAATGAATGTGTGTATGTGTGTTAAATGCAGTGTGGTATTCTGGATTGGATCCCAGAATAGAAAAACTAGTAAACTCTGAATAAAGTCTGTAGGGTTATGTACCATCTGTTAATGTCTTAGTTTTGACAATGTGAACTTTAGAAGGAACTGGGTGAAGGGGATGTGGGAATTCTCTGTACTATCTTTGCAGTTTTCCTCTAAATATAAATTATTTCAAATTTAAGAAGTTTATTCAAAGAAACTGGTAATTTTTTAGAGAGAGGGAAAGGGAAGGGACCTACTATTAAAAGGGACATAGTAGATGTATCAACAAAAAAATGCATACCTGTTGGTAATACCACTTGTAGAAAAAAATCTGCAATGAAAATACTTATAACAAAAATGTATAAATTAAAAAATGACCCAATTTCCTCAATATGTCCAAAAAAGGCAAGCTGCATATACATTAGGTTATATATGAGATATATGCAGTGATTAAAATGTTTACTGGCTTTTAATGACATGAAAAATGTTCATGATATAATTTTAAATGAAAAGAGCAGGAAATAAAAAACTAAATATATATTATGATCTCGATTAAGCAAAAAAAAAAAATGTGAAATACATAGTCATGAAAAAAAAAACACCAGAAGGAAATACTTCAAAATGTTATCAGTGGTTATCTCCGACTTACAGGTGGTTTTTATTTTCTTCTTTACATTCTTCTGGAGGTTTAAATGTTTCTGTAGTGAGTATTCATTTATTTTTATAATCATGAAGAAAAAAATTAGGAAATAGTAAAATTATAGTTTCTTTGAAAAGAAATGGGTAGTATTTTTAATGTATGCAAGGAATTTACAAGCGTGCATGAGAAAATGCTTATGCTGTAATGTTTTTTGAAAAGGGAGCAATAAAATAAAGTATATGGTATAATCATAACTATGTAAAAATATATCCATAGAAAAAGACTGAAAAAAATAGCCAAAATCTAAACACTAGTTGAATGGTTTGTTTTCTTCTTATCCTTCTTTATAATTTCCTATTTTTCTAAAAAGGTGCAAAAATAATGTTAAGATTTTTTCTTTTGTATTATCTTTAACCCTCAGTGTTCTTGTAAGTCATTATACTTGTCCTACCTGAATTGCTATCTTAGTTTCCACCAAGAATTAAATCACTACACTGCTTTGAATCTATAATTCTCAGCCAACACCCTTCAAAATTCCAGTCATAGCACAATTTGCAAGATGTCAAAGTAACTTCAAAGAGAGTGACACAAAACTTCTCTTAAAGAGTTTTGTCAATTGTTAAGAACCGCTCAGTTCAACATTTTCTGAGCACTTGTTCATGTCTGGCCCTATGCTTGAGCTTAGGTATATAAAAATAAAAACACAGACCCTTCCCTCAAGACAGTCCTAATTGAATACATAGTCAAGAGACTGACCTTACCTGGTCAGCTGAAATTCAAGAGGGACTGAGACAAAATTAATTTCTTGAGAAAGAAACTAACCAAGTCATCCAGATTTACTTAAGCTACATTTTGAGTCTCAAAATGGGAAATGAGAGATCTCCCTTAGCTCCAAAATAAACAAACTTTGTCTAGAATTCTTATTTCTAGTATCAGACTGGGCCCTTGACTGTTTTCTAACTGCAAACAACTCACTAATCAGAGCTACCACTTTTACTCTGCTATGCCAGCCACTTTACATAGATTGTCACTAATCTTTATAACCATGAAACATGGGCATTACAATTACCATTTTACAAACAAGAAAACTGAAATTCAGAAAGATTAAGTTATTTGCCAAAAAAATCTGAAGGGTTTAAACTTTGAAACAATATATTGTGACTGCTGGTTCTCTCTCAGCAAACTTGGTACATGACCAAACTAGAGAAATTCTAATGACACTTGGATCCTTCTGTTTAACTCTAGAAATCCAAAAGCCTCCACTCCTTTCTCTAATGGGGCAGGAAAACAGAGATCACACTGAGGTTCCGTAGACAAGCTTGCATTCTTGGCTGAGCCAAAGCTTGGGCCAAGAAGAGCCAAGAATTAAATGAGATTTGTAGCAATACTCCCTAGTGATTCTACAACCCTGACCACATTCCCAAAGCCCCATCATTGTTTCCCTGCCTTCAGCCACCTGTCTGATAAGCTGTTTCTTCTTTGCTGACTCTGGCATATTGTGAACATGTTGAAACAGCTCTCTTAGTGCCTCTTCCGTACGCTGCTGGGTCTCCTCCTGATGAGAGCAGGAATCTACCCGGTTCCATTTCCAAGATTTTGCCAGTTGGAAGGACTTAGTATGACATGAAGCTGTCAGATCAAGATCATCCTAGAGAAAAATTTAAAAGAAAAGTAAATTAATATATCCCTACCACTTTTGTTTTCAGGTTCCCACAATCCTAGAACAAAAAGAGGAGTGAAAGAGTGGGGAACCTGGTATATTCTTATATCCGGGAATGAGAAAAATCTAAAAGCTAAAAGAAACCTATAATTATAGACTATAATAATAGCCCACTTCCATGACCTGCCCAGAGAACCTAAATTCATTTAGAATATTGCCACCAAAAGTGATATTTACATAAGAGTTCAGTTTTCAAAGCATCTTTTAACCTCATGCAATTTTCGCTGCTACCCTATGAAATAAACAGAGAAAGTATCATCATTCCCATTTAATAGAAAAAAATTAAAGTGATAAGTTTAAACTCTAGATACTAAAGTGATACACTCATCTTAGAGCCAAGTGCTGGTGTTCTTTCCCATGTAGGACATTATGTGACAACTACTTGGCAGTAGTAGTGGAACAAAAACAACTCTCTAAGAAAGACCACATCCCAGTTAAACTAGTTGAAATCAAATACTGTTTTCCTGGTTATACCGAGTATTTGCTAAATGCGAGGTAGAAACAAACAAGAGCAAAAAAATAGTATAAGACAACAGCTTAAGTTTCTAACCAAGACGGACTAAAGAGAAATCATCAAAAAGTACTTGTAAAATTTTTTAAACTTCTCACTTTTAAAGCCCAGTAATCATATATAATCTTGTTAATAAACATCACACATTTGCTTTCTAAGCTCATTTGGTCTCAAGTCTTTTAGCTATTTGATAGTGCTACCTTACTGTTGAACCTGAAATAAAAATGCATTACATAAAATTGTACTTTTATTACTTTTAAAAATATTTAATACATTTGCTATTTGCAGATTGTTTATATCACATGCTACAAGAACACACACGGGCTTTATTAAAAACCATCACTACGCCATCACTCATATGCAGAGGATACCATCCACCAGTGGAGCACCTTCGAAAGCAGACATAAAGACCATATGTCAGGGCATTTCTATTTCAACATATAACTTTCTTCTCAGTCTTTTTCCTTATCTCAAAATTACTAGATAATTTTGAACTATAATATTAAAAACATTTTATTTTCCATGGCTTTACTTTAATTTCAGACTTTGTTTCAAAACTTCACTGATTTTAATTAACTTTCTCCTTGTTTGGGCTAAGAGCAATTTCCTATTCTTACCTTTGATGCTTGAGTTCTGGAGCCCAAATAGTGCAATCTGGCACATTCCCGAACATAAGCAGGAGCCTGGGCAGGTTATAAAAGAAAACCAAGACCAAATAATTGGTAGTATCTAAAATTCTTTCAAGACACAAAGACAGTGGTTCTCAAAATGATCTGATTGACAGATTACTTTGGAAAAAAAAAGATCTTCAAAATGCCCTATTCTATAGCTTCCACCAAAAAGATAATCTCAACAAATCTGATGGGAAAACTGTTTGTGAGAAGACACCACTATAGTTGTTGCTATTCTGAGAATCAAATATGGCATGTATGTACTCAATGAACCAGAAACAAAATATAGATATCTAGTAATGTTTATAATTGACAAAAACCACCCCCAAAATTCTTACAAATTACAAGTGGTAATATTTTAGAATCATTGTATAGAAAATACCATTTAGAATTACTATGGGGTAACGACAGACAAGGAAGAATTTAACTTACTGCTACATTGCCCAAGTGACAAGTACCCTGTACAGTCCTAGTAGAAGTATAAAATAATATAAGTACTATGGAAGAATTTGGCAACATCTAAGAAAATTACATTTGCATTTACCCTTTAACTGAGAAATCTCAGTTCTGCAAATCTATCCTGAAGATATAACTCCAGAAACATAAAACGCACTTAGATAAAACTAATCAAAAGACCGGACCCAGCCTCAAATGTCTATTAATAGCAGACTGGTGGAATGAATTTTTATACAACCATACAATGCAGTACTATGCAATCATTAAAAATGAAAGAAAGAAGGGAAGGAGGGAGGGAGGGAAGAAGAGAGGGAGGGAAGGAAGGAGGAAAAACTCAGAAACTAATGGAGTTTTGTCAAAAAGACTCAGCAGGGACTGCCTTG